TGTCTTTAGAGGTGATCAAATCCTGGGCCTTTGTCCAGCAAACGAAGGTTTTCCTCTTGGTCAATCTTGATGGATCACTAAACCAATGGACACTCCGGCCTCTTCTTCATCATGTCTTTATCTCTGGGACTCATGGAGTATCATGGTGGGAACAGGCCTTGGAAGCAGTACCAGGGACGAGCCACCACCATCCTTGGGACCTTCTCCGTACAGATAATTTGTAGTTTTTGACCTTCCCTCAGTAGAAGCAGGAACTGTTCATCATCAGTCCAAACCAGACAGAAAATCCTCACACCTGGACTAAAAACTTCACCACGTCTATGTCTTGGGTAGGTATGAGTTGACCACCACGAGGGGCCATATTCACAGGGTTGAGGCCGGGGTGGTGGGCAGATGGCCAGAGGGAATACTTGGGTCATGGGAGGCTGCACCAGCCAGTGCACGTGGCCAGGACAGGGGGAGCACAGAGGTCAAGGAGCCAAGGCTCCAGCAGTGCCTGTGAGAGGGAGGAAGGGACATGGTGTTGAGGAAGGGGGCTGGCCCAGTCCACTCACTGCAGGGACTGGGGTGCTGATAAATGAGAATCTACAGCGTCCACACTAACCCAGGCTGAAACCTTGGCAAGGAATCAGCAGCTTAATTCCAAAGTCACCCACTGGGAGGAGCAGGTCTGCATTCCAGCCTGGCTGGAGTTGTGCCTAGGCATTGGTAGTTTAAGTAACTACAGCTTGGCAGAGCCGGTGGCACCTGGAAAGGAGGGTGTAGAATTGAGACCTGTGTATCTGCGTCCCAGAAAGAATCCTAAACTCAGGAAAATCACTTTGTGTGAAGATGTCCATCAAAAGAAATCTTCCTTTATAGTGAGATATTGTAAGCAACCTAAATTACCAATACAAGAGGGATTATTATTATTATTATTATTCTTTTCTTCAACTTTTAGGTTCCAGGGTGCGTGGGCAGAAAGTGCAGGTTGTTACATAAGGAAACATGTGTCACAGTGGTTTGCTGCACAGATCAACCCATCACCCAGGTATTAAGCCCAGCATCCATTAGCTTTTCTTCCTGATGATCTTCCTCCACCCACCCTGTCCCTCTTCCACAGGCCCCAGTGTGCCTTTTTCCCCTGGTGTATCCACGTGTTCTTGTCATTCAGCTCCCACTTATAAGTGAGAACATTTGGTGCCTAGTTTTCTGTTTCTGTGTAGTTTGCTGAGGATAATGGCTTCCAGCTCCATCCATGTCCCTGCAAAGGACATGATCTCATTCCTTTTTATGGCTGCATAGTATTCCATTGGTGTACCACCTTTTCTTCATGCAGTCTATCATTGATGGGCATTTGAGTTGATTCCATGTCCTTGCTATTGTGAATCATGCTGTAATGAACATATGCGTGCATGTATCTTTATAATAGAATGATTTATATTTGAGTATATACCCAGTAATGGGATTGCTTGGTCAAATGATATTTCTGCTTCTAGATCTTTGAGGAATCGTCACATTGTCTTCCACAATGGTTGAACTAATTTACATTCCCACCAACGGTGTAAAAGCGTTCCTTTTCTCTGCAACCTCACCGGCATCTATTGTTTGTTGACTTTTTAGTAACTACCATTCTGGCTGGCATGAGATGGTATCTCTTTGTGGTTTTGATTTGCATTTCTCTAATGACCAGTGATGTTGAGCTTTTTTCACATTTGTTGGCCACATGAATATCTTCTTCTGAGAAACGTCTGTTCATGTCCTTTGCCCACTTTTTAATGGGGTTGTTTTTTCTTGTAAATTTGTTTAAGTTCCCTGTAGACTGGATATTAGACCTTTGTCAGATGGATAGATTGCAAAAACTTTCTCCCATTCTGTAGGCTGTCTGTTTGCTCTGATGATAGTTTCTTTTGCCATGCAGAAGCTCATTAATTGGAACCCGTTGTCAATTTTTGCTTTTGTTGCAATTGTTTTGGGCATTTTTGTCATGAAAACTTTCCCTGTACCTATGTTGTGAATGGTATTGCCTAGATTTTCTTCTAGGGTTTTTATGGTTTTGGGTTTTACCTTTAAGTCTTTAGTCCATCTTGTGCTAATTTTTGTCTAAAGCGTAAAGAAGGGGTCCAGTTTCAATTTTCTGCATATGGCTAGCCAGTTCTCCCAACATCATTTATTAAATAGGGAATCTTTTCCCCATTGCTTCTGTCAGGTTTTTCTCTTCGACATTTGATGATGTGAGTGATGTCTCACTCCCAGTTCTCAGCTCCTTGGAGGCCACGGTTAGGCTTTCTTGGCTCTTGGAGCCATGATCGATGGAAGGGCTGCCCTGCCTTGCCATGCCCCTCTGAACAGGAAGGGTGGTGGGAGCTGCAGCAGGTGGCTGTGAGGGGCAGGGAGTGTGGCGAGGAGGGGCGGGGGCCGTTTTACCATTGATGGGGCCAGATGTGTTCTCCTCCCTCCATGGGCACATCTGCATCTCACTAATTTGTACTGAGTTGGGCCTCTGGGATTTGTTGGGTGGGACAGGGAGGACTCAGCGGGCAGGAATGGGCAGCTTCTCCCTAGCAGGTGCTAAAATCTAAGAGATTACAGGCCACTCACACCACAACCTTAGACCTGTGTTTAACTTCAGGGAAGGTGTGAGGACACAGGTCATGGGGCAAGCGTGACATGGGACATGGCCTGCAGAGAACCCCAAAGTTAAACACCTGCCTCCGTCTCTTACTCACTGAGTCATCGACTAGGGAAGGTAGGAGAACTCCTCTCTCTCTCTCTTTTTGGGGAGAGTAAAATCATTACATTTTATTTGTAAGCATACAGTATTTTTCCACTGTAAAAGTTAATGATGCTCATCATAGAGCTATTTCAGTAAATAGGAAGGCAGAATCCAGGAAAAAAGACGTAACTGATACTTAAGCACTCTCTGATGCCCACTGGTATATTTTCTTTTTTTTTCTTTGCTTTTTTCTACTGAGTGGTTTGTAAACTTTTGTATCCTGTTCTTTTTGATTTAACACTAAAGCATGAAACTATTCCATGTTATTACGAATTCCACAGAAATATGCTAGTGAGGGTTCCATAATATTTCATCATGTAGCTAAACTAACATTTAGTTAATAATTCCTCATATTACACGTTTTTATTATGAACTAAGATTTCTTTTGATGGACATCTTCAGGCAAAGTGATTTTCCCTGTGTATAGGATTTTTTCTCTAGCTCATCCACCAACATAGTCTGTAGCCATAGCACCCTGAGTGCGTCTGATCTTGCCTGAATCTCAGAAGCTAAGCAGGGTTGGGCCTGGTTAGGACTTGGATGGGAGAACGCCCACCAGTGCAGATTTACTGGGTCTAAGAGTGGACTTTTCCTCAGACTCTTGATACAAAGTACCATGTTAATTTCCAAAAAGGTGACACTGATTTCCACTTTCTGTGTCTGTAGGTATCTGTTTCCCCCAGTGGAGGGTGTATGACCTTATTGGACCCATTGTGAGACCCACGTGGGCCCAGACTGCCCCGTCACCTCCAACCCACAAGCTGCAGCCTTTGGTGAACCACGGTGGGGTCTGGGTCTCTGACTGGTGTCAGTTCAGAGCTAATATTTAGTGCAGTCAGATCTCGATACTTTCTTCCTCCCAGGGCAGAGTCACTCTGGTTGTGTTAACTTCCTGGAGTTGTTGTAATAAAGTCCCACAGACTGAGTGGCTTAAACAACAGAGATGGATTCTCGCACAGTTCTGGAGGCCTGGAGCAGGAGAGGAGGAGGCTGTCCTTTAAAATACAGGAGCCCGGGGGACTAACTGGGAAGGCGTGGGGGGGAGGTGGAGGGAGTCCCATAGACACAGCGGAGTGAACCATGTTCACTTTGTCAGTTTTTGATAGCAGCTTGTATATACAATTTGTTTTTCCCCCCCCTGCCCTCAGCCCCTCCCAGAAGGAGACTTAATCTGTCACTCAGGCTGGAGTGCAGTGGCGCGATCTCGACTTGCTGTAACCTCCGCCTCCCAGGTTCAAGTGATTCTCCTGACTTAACCTCGGGAGTAGCTAGGATTACAGGCACCCGCCACCATGCCGGCTAATTTTTGTGTTTTTTGTAGAGACGGGGTTTCACCATGTTGACCAGGCTGGTCTTGAACTCCTGACCTTAAGTGATCTGCCTGCCTCGGCCTCCAAAAGTGTTGGGATTACAGGCGTGAACTACTGCGCCAGGCCTACAATTTCATTACTAAAACAATTCCACTGTAAAAGGGAAAAGAACAGAAAAGAATTAGCTCAGATACATAAGTAAAAATGTGCATACAGTTCCTTGGCTTAGGATGCTGAATGGTTGACAGTTACTGCCGCCCGTGCAAACCCAAGCAGGAGCCTCTTTAGATGGGGCCATGTTTCCCCCATGAAGGACCTCGGGTGCTTTGCTCACATGCAAATTTGCCGTGGACATGTCTAATCGGACGAAACTCATGAGAAAAGATGCAGTTTGAAGGCCCAGATCGCTTGGGGACAGAAGGAAAGAGGGAGGAACACGCCTCGTATTTCCCTACTCATCTTGTTCAGACACAGACTTGGAGACTTGGATTTCAAAATAGTTGAAAACCGCTCACAGGCCCATTTCAATCTGAGACCAGAGCAGATGGAATGGGCTTCATGAGCTCCTTCCCTTCTCCCTGCAAGGTCACGGTGGCCACCCTGTGAGCCACTCTTGTCACGGCCGAGCCTTTTCCGGCCATCTCTCACTATGAATCACTTCTGCAGTGAGTGCAGTATTTACCCTGGTGGGAGGGCCCCTCAGATATGAGTAGGACCCGGATTAAGGTCAGGTTGGAGGAGACTCCCACGGGATAAGAGGGACTTTCTGAATCTCAGATCCCTCAGCCAAGATGACCTCACCACACGCCCTCTCTTCTATCAGCAAATCCGTCCATGTGGCTTGACCATGTCTGGGAAACACCTTTGCTAAAAATCAGTGGAGATTATTGTCTCAGAGGATCCCAGAACCTCCTTAGGCAAATGTTACCTAACGCTCTTTAAGCAAACAGAGCCTGCGCTATAAAATCCGGGGCTCGGACGGAATCTCATCCCTGACTCGGGGTCGCCTTTGGAGCAGAGAGGAGGCAATGGCCCCCATGCAGAACAAGGTGATCTGCGCCCTGGTCCTGGTGTCCATGCTGGCCCTTGGCACCCTGGCCCAGTCCCAGACAGGTAAGGTGTGCTTCTTCCTGCCCTGTGGGGCCACAGCCAGCTCGGGAAGCCTCTGCCGGGAGCCACTGTTTTACATACATATTTTTGAGCACCTGTTTTGTGCCAGGTGCTGTTCTAGGCCCTTAAAAGTATATCCCATGTTACAGGATCGGCAAAAGCAGGGGGAGAATAACTAACACAGGGTGGCAGGGCCCCGGGAGGCCTTTGAGATGTGCGACGAGGAGGGTGCTGCCCTCGGTCGGGGCTGTTTTCCTGTGTTGGGAAGACTTTACAATCCTCCCAAGTGTCATGTTTCAAAGAGGAAGTGTTGGTGTGGAGTCTCAGAATAGTGCTTCCGAGTGTTCATGCAACATTTCCCCCAGGGGCAGGCCCTCCTAAGGCCCATCCAGATAGGCCCAAATGCCTGTCCCAGTGATGGCCAACTGGGAGACCCTCTCCCACAGGTTCCTGGGCTCCCCTGGGATCCATGCTCTGGGAGTCAAAGCCATCTATCCCATGAATGCGTGGCTGGCAACCCCTGTTCCCCGGTGTTGTCAAGTGGATCGGTTGCCCTGGCTCCTTCTAGGGAGTGGAGGAAGAGCCCACTCTTGCTTCCTTGGGAAGTGTTTGCATCTCAACTCCTTTACCTGCAGAATGGATCAATGGTCTGCCCTAGGGCTGTCGGGAAATGCGGTGTGGCAGCGTCTGGGACTTGCACTTCGCCAGCTGCAGGGAGATGAATAAGTTATTCGCTGTTGTTAGGTTCAGTTTCAAGCTGGGGGCAGGAGAAAGGGCTTTCCACGCTTCCAAAGCAAGGCTTTCCAGAGAGGCCTGAAGAGGGGGCGCCCAGTGGTGGTGTCCATGCCTCTACTGCCCTCCAGTCACCTCTTGATCGCTGCTGTGGGGTACAGGGCCTGAGGGGTGGGCTTGCGCAGCATAGAAGAGAAGCTGGCATCAGGCAGCAGTGGGAAGCCCCCAAGCCCATGGCAGGGAGCAGGGGAGCTTTGGAACCCGAGAGAGGAGGTGGCCTCTGTGTACAGAATGAACCGGGTGGGTCCTCATGCTGGCCACCCCCAGGCCCATCTGCCTCCACCCTTGCCCCCACCCAGCCCCCAGCCCTGCCCCCTGTGCTGTGGGATCACAGAGGCTTGGGTTAACTCCCCTCTTCCGGCCCCACACACCCTCTGGCTCAAGGCTCAGAGCTTCCTTGTGGGTCACTCAGGTCCATGACCCTCTTACAACAGAAATCTAGAAAATTGTGATTACAATTTAGCGCATTTGCGTGTGGAAACCATTTCCATTTATTTCTGTCATGCGACAAAGCGGGTGGGCAAGACAGCGTCTGCTGGAGGCAGAGCGCCGGGGCTGGAAATCCTCCTTCCTGAGGAGGAAACTCCCCCACCTCCCAGGATGATGATCCTCCCTCACCACGGGGCCTCTCTTGACCCCACAATGCCCTGGGGGTGGGCGATGGTCACCTTCACTTCGTGATGGATTCAGACCCCAGGAGGGCAACGTTCCCATGGAAGCTTCTGGGCAGTGGGAGGTGAACCCGGATCCTTCCCAGCAAGCCAGGAGCACTGTCTCCAAAGAGAGCTCGAGGCTGTCTCCGATAGCAAAGCAGACAAGAGAGCAGCCCCTCCGGGCCTCCCTGGGGCACCCTCACCTGAGCCAGTGTGGCCAGACGGAGCTCCTCCCCTCCTATGCCCCAAGACAGGGACAGGGACACAGACAGGGACAGGGACAGGGAGGGTGCCCTGGGCTCCTCTTTCTCCCCACACTGCAGGCTGTCAACCGCCAGATCCTAATAGGTTGCCTTCTGAGACCTTTGATTCCGCGGAGCTCTGAGTCTGAAGCTCTTGTGTTAGAATGTCTTGTAGAAGATCCTGTGGCAGCCCCCAGCCAGCTCCATCTGTCCACGTGTCCTCCCCCTCTGGCCGCTTTCCTCACTGCCCTGCTTCAAGCTGTTTCACAGCTCACAGCCCTCTGTGGGCTCCTCCTAGACCACCCCACCCCGTCGTCCTCTCACCTTACCTGCAATGGGCTTCCACCTCCTGAACACATCTGGGTCTCTGGAATGGCCTTTGCCCATGTGGCCCCATCTTCCCCTGGTGAATCTCCTCCTACAGAGGGCCCCCCTGCTTTGTTCAGCCTGCTTGTCATTGGCCCCTCCTGGGAGCGCCCCGTACCCCCGTGGTTACCCTGGGCATCCTGGGATGATGGCCTTGGGTTGTCTCACACATTTTCTTGCCTTTTTCCTGCATCAGATCCTCAGACTCTTTTGTTTTGTTTTGTTTTGTTTTGTTTTTGAGACGGAGTCTTGCTCTGTCACTCAGGCTGGAGTGCAATGGCGCGATCTTGGCTCACTACAACCTCCGCCTCCTGGGTTCAAGTGATTCTCCTGCCTCAGCCTCCCAAGTAGCTGGGATTACAGATGTGTGCCACGACGCCCGGCTAATTTTTTGTATTTTTAGTAGAGATGGGGCTTCATCATGTTGGTCAGACTGGTCTTGAACTCCTGACCTCAAGTGATCCACCTCCCTCGGCCTCCCAAAGTGCTGGGATTACAGGCGTGAGCCTGGCCCAGATCCTTAGACTCTTAACGACGACTTCTCTGGTTTTAATTTCTGGGTCCCTCTCACCTGGCACAGTGCCTGGCTTTTGCCATGCTAGCTCCCACTTCTCATGCACACAGATGGTGCTCAGTAAATATTTATGTATTCAGTAAAATTTAATAATCGTTTGTTGAAATTAAAAAGTGAATAAATAAGTTACCTAGAAAGAAGCAAAGTCCACAAACCCGGGGCACCTTGCATTTTTCCTGAGTGTGATGTTTGCACATCAGGATGTGAAGACCACATCTCCCTCTCGTGTCCTGAGGGTTTTATATCTGCCTCACCGGATGGTTGCTGATGTCATTGGAGAAGGAAGCTGGATGGGTGTGTGCACAACAACATCAAGGAATTCAGCCCACAACTTACTTTGCTTCTTACCTGTGCACTTCTAGAGACATGTACAGTGGCCCCCCGTGAAAGAAATAATTGTGGTTTTGATGGTATCACACCCTCCCAGTGTGCAAGTAGGGGCTGCTGTTTCGATGACAGCGTTCGTGGGTTCCCCTGGTGCTTCCATCCTAACACCATCGACATCCCTCCAGAAGGTACGACCTTTTTATACCATGGGTTCTGAAGATTTAGAATTAGTTAGAAAAGCCACATAAGACTGCAGAGGCTCTGATTGGCATCACCAGCTGTGCCTTTCCCTGGAGTCATGGCCGCAGGTGGTGTCACAATGGGGTAGCCTGAGTCAGGCTGCATTCAGGTCCGGGAATAGAAAGGCAGGGCTGAGGGGCTTGGGAAGAAACCTGATTTTTCCCCGGCTTCTCTTCACATCTCTAACCAAAAGCCTGTGAAGAGCCACTGTTGGTAATGTTTTCCAGCTTGCCTAGGATAGAGGCAGAAGGCATGACAAAATTTGAAGACAGTTCATGTATCCATTTCTTTTTTTTTTTGAGATAGAGTCTCGCTCTGTTGCCCTTGAGTTGGAGTGCAATGGCGGGATCTTGGCTCACTACAGCCTCCGCCTCCTGAGTTCAACCTCAGCTTTCTTTTTTTTTTTTTTTTTTTTTGAGACGGAGTCTCGCTCTGTCGCCCAGGCTGGAGTGCAGTGGCCAGATCTCAGCTCACCGCAAGCTCCGCCTCACGGGTTTACGCCATTCTCCTGCCTCAGCCTCCCGAGGAGCTGGGACTACAGGCGCCCGCCACCTCGCCCGGCTAGTTTTTCGTATTTTTTAGTAGAGACGGGGTTTCACCGGGTTAGCCAGGACAACTTCAGCTTTCTAGTAGCTGAGATTACAGGCGTGTGCCACTGTGCCCAGCTAATTTTTTTTGTATTTTTAGTAGAGACGGGGTTTCACCATTTTGGCCAGGCTGGTCTTGAACTCTTGACCTCAGGTGATCTGCCTGCCTCAGCCTCCCAGAGAGCTGGGGTTACAGGCGTGAGCCACTGTGCCTGGCTGACAGTTCATGTTTTCTAAAGAATGTGCCTGCTGATACTTTAAAGTAAAAACTCTGTAATTGCTTAAATGTGAAAGAAACTATCCTCACTAAAGCATCTCTTCCTCCCTCTCCCTCACCCCTGTAGAGGAGTGTGAATTTTAGACGCTTCTGCGTGGATCTGCCTGCATCCTGACGCGGTGCCATCCCCAGCACGGTGGTTAGTCCCAGAGCTCAGCCGCCACCTCCACCGGACACCTCAGACACGCTTCTGCAGCTGTCGGCTCACAACACAGATTGACTGCTCTGACTTTGACTACTCAAAATTGGCCTAAAAATTAAAAGAGATCGATGTTAATCTGTGCTTTTCATTCTTTTAAAGAATATGAATGAGTTTCCTTTTTTGAAAGCGAAGCACAGCCTTTCACCCTGGGCTCTCTCTGTGGGTTCTGAGCCTTCTGGGCTTCCTGAGCTGGGATACGAGTGGGCAGCTGAGTGTAGAAAGCGGGGACGGTGGGGTGTGCAGCAGGTGCCCGGCTCAGCGCTCAGTGCTGATGCCCGAGGACCAGACCTCAGACTCCTTCTATGAAACCACAGAGTACCCTAGAAGCAAGTCCAAGCCGCACTCTTGTCCAGTCGTGAAAATGGACACCAACTCCCCTGGCATTTCTTAACTACTCACCGCGGATGCCCCAGCGACCAAGTGATACAAGTTCCCTTTCCATGTATTTGCTTTCCCAAATAGAAACTGGCGTAGGAGATGAAACCCATAGCAGAGTGTCTGAAAGCATGTGTAATAAAAATTGCAGAGGGTGGCATGGGCTGACCCCTCCAGGAAAACCCCTCCCCAGCCTGAGATCTGAATGAACTAGAAAATAGAACAGCAGGGGAGGGATACAGAAGCCAAAATGTCACTTTATTCCCACTGGCCCCTCTTGGCGAGGATTGGGAGAGGGTGTACCCCCCGACCTAGTCGTCCTTGCTCCAGGGGCCTCAGCTCAGCAAGCCCCAAGCCAACTGCACCCTGGGTTCCTGCTCCTCCCACCTGTCCCTCCATCTGGTGCTCTTGTGCTGGGCATACGTTGCACAATTATACTGGAGATGGGGTCCCAGGAGCTCTGGAAAACTGCTCTCTGCAGCCAGCTGGTTCCAGGGAGGAAGAGGCAGGTGCAGAATTGAGTGCGGCCAGCTCGTTCCACATTAACCAGTCCGGTAAATCATTCCCAAACCCTTGGCCACTAGGGTCAGCAGGTAAAGAGGCCCAAGAGGCCAGGAGACACCCACCATGAGGAACCATCAGGAACAGGAAGCCCCCTGCTCCCGGCACACAGCAGCACACACACGAGCTGTAACAATACATGTTGTCACATATGTGTCAGGGGGCCACAGACACCTCCTCTTACCTCTCAGATGTGCAAGGAAGTTTTAGCTTCTCTTTTCCATCTACAGTATGTCTGATCTTACACTCTCTGTCTGCTAATTACAGGCAAAAACAAGCTAGCTGTTTATTTAGTCCAATTCCTCTTAAAATTCAGTTTGTCATAATAATTTGCACAGCTTCTGTCGGTCACAGTCTTCGGGGACGCATTGCTCATTCTCTTACCTAGTTCCACCCCATCTTGCCCTCTCTACCCCTGAGTGGGGTGAAGGAGCCTCTGGGTCTGCCCATGCCCCTTGGATTCCTGCTGGCCCACTGTGGAGCAGTGGCTGGGGGTTCTCAGAGCCCAGCTGGTGTGTGGCCTGTCCCTTCTCCCCACGGTTCCCCAGTGCCCGAAAGGCGGGCTTTCCCCATGACACCTCGTAGCCGACTGTTTCCTGGCTGTCCACCATCCATTCCTTCCCTTCTTTCTTACCTAATTTGCACTCTACAAAGGAAGGGGGGAAAAGAGTTCACTTTTCTAGCCCCTCTTTTAGCCAGAAATGGCCATGCAATTCTATGTGGCCCATGAGACGTAGGGGGCATCTACTTGAATGTGGGACAGGCTTCTCCCTTGATGATTGAAGAGCGCCCTCTGGCTTCCTGGGCCAGCCCCTGCAACCTGCCTTTGGGTATTGTGGAAGGTAGGTGTGATGTAGTGTTGCAGTCAGCCATTCTGTGATAATGAAGTAAGGCCCAAGCGCCAGAGCCTTAATAACCCTGAGTTGCTGATTTGAGCCCCTCAACCACCTCCAGACATCATGTTAAATAAACCTAAGTGTGCTTATGTGTTAAATCACTGCCAGTTTGGTTTCCTGTTACATTTCAGCATATTACCAAGGCCCATATCTTCCCTCTACCATAGAGCAGTGAGCCTATGGCCCAGCCACAATGGCCAGGAACAACTGCTCTCACCAAGGACTGCAGGTAGAGCCAGTTAACAAGGTGAGTCACTGCCTTCCTGTGGTTTCCCTGGGCCTCCACCCAGTGGAGCCTGGGCAACAGGGCAAAGCTCTGTTTCTACTAAAAATACAAAAATTAGCTGAGTGTGTGGTGCATGCCTGTAGTCCCAGTTAGTAGGGAGGCTGAAGTGGAAGGGTTTCTTGAGCCCAGGAGGTGGAGGCTGCAGTGAGCTGAGATTGTGCTACTACACTCTAGCCTGGGTGACAGAGTGAGACACTGTCTCAAAAAAAAAAAAAAAAACCAAAAAAAATATAATAAAACGACAAGAAGGCCGCATCACAGGGAACCGATGGTGCACTCTAGGCTGACATCTCCTTCGGCCCTGAACCAGCATCTCACGGTGACCGCCCTGTGCACTTGGCCCTGGAAATACGCAGTAAACATGGGCTGCTCTGAGGATCATGCGGGGCTGCAGCCGGGCTCAGGAGCCCTCACCCAGAATCTCTTAGACGAAGCAAGAACATGTGTTAGCCCCAGGCTCCCTCCACCTCCTGGTCCCCAGCTGAGATCTCCATTACCATGACCCTGGTGGAGAAGGTGGAGAGAAGGAGAGGACGCACGACTGCCTCGTGGCCAGAATTCAGGCGTGCGGTCCTTTTACCCTCCCACACCTCTATGAGGTGTTCACCTCCTCTTTCCCTCATTTTCCACTACGTGCTGTCAATCAATTTAATAAATAGCAGGTTTCACACCTTAATTTGGTCTGCGCACCCCTTTGTTCTGCCACTGGCCATGTACTCGGAGACCACAATTGCTTCTAGATAATTTCCCACACAACAGGGTTCTGTTCAGGGCATGTATTGAACTAAAGGTCAGACCAGGAACTAATTCTCGAAGCCAAGCTGTAGCTTAAGTTCATATTTGTAGGGTCGTTGGGAAAGATATTGTTAAGAAAACTCCCTCACCTTTCTTTGCAAGTAGAGGGAGGGATGGTTTGTTGCAATATTTTATTTTTATGAATTTGATAGGAAACATCAGCTCATAAGAAAGAAACACATGCCTGGCAAATCCCAGTCCTAGTAACGTACCAGGAGGAAGGGATACCCATGAGGCTCCCTGACTTAAAGGTCCAAGCAGACAGAAGATACCAGTTGGTAACACAAGAATAAATAGTATTATTTTTAAAGGATTTCTGACTTGTTCTCTTCAGCTCTTAACAGTGCCCTGAGCTGGACATCTTTGAGGTAGCAAACAGACTAAATTAGATCAAACCACACGTGCCCACACATGCCCACACATGCACGTGCTACAAGGGGACTCAGTGAAGCTAAAGGCAAGTATTGGAAGGATTTTCTACATTTCATCTGATCTCATCTATCAGTGTCGAGAAGTTGGAAGGGCTGAGCTTATTTATTTATTATATCTTATGTGCAAGCTAACAGGTGAGTCTGCCACAATTTCCTGTTTCCAGAAGACAGGAAATTCCTGGTTCAAAGATAAATGACTTTATTACTCATGTTACAGCAAGCAGCATGAAGAAAGGTTACTTGTGTCAATTCTGTTTGCCTCCAAGACCCCCAAGGGACTGGGACTGGGAATGCACTCAGATGGGTGCCTGCACACACAGTGGGTTGCCTTATGGGAGAGAAGCCCTGGATTTAGGGATCCAAGTGTTTTATAAGGGACAGTGAGCTCGCCTGCTCTTTGCTCCAGAGGGAGACATCTTATCCACTTTCCAAGATTGTTTGTGACCCAAACATCCTTGGAGAGAGAGTCTGGAAGAAAGGACTGTTTTCATTGCCTCCTGTGCATCTCGTTGGTGAGGGGGGGATTTCACCCTAGGACGATGGAATGGCTGAACACGCCACCCTCAACATCGCATAGGTGAGAACAATAGCAGTTTGTGTGTCCCATATCCTTATAGCCCAGGGGCTGAGGACATTGTGCCATGTGGGACCACACAGAGGTGGCATTCAGGGGCAGAGAGAATAAGCAAAGGTTGTGGGAAGCAGGCTTTGTAGTATCAAGAGGGCGTGGTGGCCAGTGGCTCCCACACGAAGATGCAATTGGCTTGTTTAAATAATTCTGTGGGCTGGCAGAAAACTGAAATCTGCAGCTCACGGATAAGCAAGCACAGTGCCTAATCCCTTGATAGGCAGGGTTGTTTGGCTAGGGGACCTTATCCATGGGAGTAGAGGTGGGAGGGGAACTTTTGGTGAGGCTGCTTGAGGCCCTCCCTGTTTCACTAGATGTCAAGGCAGCACTTAATATTGTGCCTTAAGTTTAGGTCTTACGCCATAAGGATAGTTAGTTTCTTATTCACGCGATGTGCAGAAATGTGAGAAATTTATGGAGAACTGTCTCCCAACAACCAGTATACTAAATATCTTATTTTCAGGACAAGATTATAGAGGGAGGAAAAATGATTAAGGCTCATTTCTGTAACATTTTATTAAGAAAAATAGAATGCGAATATTTCCCTCCATTGTTATTTTAAAATTTTAGACAGCTTAAGACTATAATATAGGGGTATGTGGATATTTTTTTTTCTTTTTTGAGAGTCTTGGTCTGTCACCCAGGCTGGAGTGCAGTGATACTATCTCGGCTCACTGCAACCTCTCCGCCTCCTGAGTTCAAGTGATTGTTCTGCTTCAGCCTCCTAAGTAGCTGGGATTGCAAGCATGAGCTACCATGCATGGCTAATTTTTGTATTTTTAGTAGAGACAAAATTTCACCATGTTGGCCAGGCTGTTCCTGACCTCAGGTGATCTGCCTACCTAGGCCTCTCTAAGTGCTGGGATTATAGGCGTGAGCCACCGCACCCGGCTTGGATTTTTTAAAGGGCTACATAGTAAATATTGTAGGTTTTGGGGGCCTTACAGTCTTTGTCACAAGTCAACTCTGCATTGTAGCTAGAGTAGCCATAGATAATATGTAAATCAATGGACTTAGTTATATTTCAATAGAGCTTTATTTAAAAAACAGGCAATTAGACCAAGAACCATCATTGTCCAACCCCTACTGTCATCCACCATTTT